GGCCGAGGACTGCGCGGGTGGAGAGGGCCGGGGGCCGGGGGCAAGGGGCGCGGCCGAGGCTCAGGCGCCCCCTCTTCTGCCCCACCCAGACTCGGCCCCGCTTGCGTCCAAGTCCAAGGTGTCACCGCTGCTGTCGGAGGGGGATCCGGTTTTCTCACCGCTCTGAACCCCACCGCGCTGGGGGTGGGGCTGGGCCCTGGGGTGTGCATAGTTTTGTAATTTGGGGAGGGAGGACAATAAAGGAGGCGGTTGAGCCCGCAGCCTGTGCTGTGTCTGGGTCCCTAGCCCCTCCATGCGCAGTTGGCCAGAGCCTCGCAGTCCTGAGCTCACACCTTCGGAGGGGCACCTCCAGGGCTGCTCTGTCCCCTCCTAGTCCACCTGTGTCCCATCTTCCCTGTCACCTTGGCTCTAGGACCCAAGTCTCCCGCTCAGTGCTGCCCACCCTGCCCTAGGTGGGGAAGCCAGCATCCTGTCCTGTCCACTACTTCCAGAAGCCAGATAGGACGGGGTTTACCAGCTCTTATTTAGAAAGCCGGAGGAAGGGGCCGCAGCTGGCGTGGAGGTTAAGGTGCTGGGTCCCACGTGAATGACTGGTTCAGGCGCAGACCCAGCAACGTGAGAAACATGCCAGGCCCGTGTGCATGCATGGCCATCCCTCCCGGGGGCTGATCTCTCACTTTCTCTCTCTTAGCACATGCGCACTATAGCAAAACTATTAAAAAAAAAAAAAAGTCCCAGAGCAGCTGGCAGGTTGCCTGGTGGTTAGGGAAGGCAGATCCCAACCATATGTGGTTCATATCCTGACCCCAGCGGCTTGAAAAACACCAGATGGTTGTGCATGCCCCAAATCCCAACAAGACGGAGAAAGAGAAGGGGACTGCTTTGTGATCATGCCCCATGGGGGTGCACCTGCTGGCAATTAAAAAAGTCCCAAGAGTGTGAGGCTGGGCTGTGCTGGGAGGGGCTTCCTGAGAAAGTGCCCAGGCAGGCCTGGCTGGGCCCCCCCAGGTCCTGGGAGTGCAGTTCACAGGGAAGGAGGAGTGTCTGGTGCCATGGAAGGAACACAGCTGGGCAGTGTGGCAGACTGGGGCTCAGGCTTTATTTTCATCCTTGCTGCCCTCAGACCCTCAGGTGCCCTGCCCAGCTCTCAGGAGGTGGGTGGGTCAAGGCCAGGCCTGGGGAGACGGCCTGAGATCTCTCCTCAACCTGCCCTGTTTCCGGTCCTCTGACCACAAGGACCGCCCCTGTTCCCGTCCCGGGGAGTCAGAATGGGGTCCCAGCCCTTCCCCATTTCACTCCCATCTGCTGGTCAGCCTCACAGTCCCCAACCCAGGTCCTGACACCCTGTCTCTCTGTCCTTGGGTACCCACAGCAGCTGCTCCTGCCCTTCCCCCAGTCTGAACACCACCGGAAACCGGGTCCGTTGGGCTTGCACCCCTCCCCAGCCCAGGGTCTTCAGTGGCTGCCCACGGCCCGCTGGATGAAGACCCCATCTTCCCAGTAGCTCACCAGCCCCATCTTGAATTGCCCCACCCCCTCCAGGGTCCACTCCCTGTTCCCCTCCTCTTCCCCGTGGGAATGCAGACATCCTATGAGCGAGACCAAGCCCTCCTAGGCCCACCTCCCCTCGTCTCACTCCTTACTTCCTCTTCCCTCCTCCCTGCCCTCTTATCACTCTTCATCCTGGCATCAGTGGCCAAGATACCCGTCAGCCCCTGGCCAGGATCCTCAGGGTCAGGACCCTCAGGGGCTAAGCCTCTCATCACCCCTTGGTCTCCTTGTCCTCATGTCACTATCTTAACCCTCAGACCCCGGCATTGGAGCCACCCAGGGAGAGGAGCTGGGGCTCAAAGTCCTGCTACTGTGGCACCTCCCGGTGGGGTGGGGGACCACAGGCCCTTCAGCCTCTCCTGTGAGGAGGAGGATCCAGGTGCGGCCCCACTGGGGGCCTCGGCCGAGATGCTGGCCACATGGCTCAGGTGGCTGGCTGCTCTCCGCACCAGCCGTGTGGCCAGGCTGCCGTCAGGGACCCCGCCGGCTGAGCTGTGTCCACAGCCTTAGAGCCATGAGGCTGTGACCCTGGGGAAGACCCAACCTCCCTGCCCTTCACTTTCATCCATCCTTTTTTTTGGTGGCACTGGGGGTGGGGGAGGAGGGAACAGCACATGTGCCCAGCTATTTTTTTTTTTTTTTGATAGATTTTTGCTATAGGGTGTACGCACTTGCCACAGAGAGAAAGTGAGAAATCACTCCCCAGGAGGGGTGACAAGCCAGTCCCTTCTCCATTCTCCTCCTGAGATTTTGGGCACGCATGAACACGTGGCCAGCGTGAGTTTTAAGTCGTCAGGTCTGAGACTTTAATCCTAGTCGACTATATCCAGCGATATAATCGTTAAGTTGTCCGCTGGTCCCAGGCCCAAGCATTTTTTTTTCTTTTTTTCTTTGGAGAGGTTTTTGCTATAGGGCGCGTGCGCTCGCCAGACAGAGACATAGAAACAGAAAGCGAGAAATCACCCCCCAGGGAGGATGGCCACGCCGCAATCCCTTCTCCTCCATTCTCCTCTCGGGATCTTGGGCACGCACGCACATGCGCCCGGCATGAGTTTTAAGCCACCGGGTCCGGGACGCGAACCACGGTCGACTACGTGGGAGTCCAGCGACATAGCCATTACGCTAGCTGCTGGTTCCCCCAGGGCCTAGCATTTTTCAAGCTGCTGCCTCTGGGACTCCCGATGGAATCCAGCCACCTTATCCTCCACGCCACCCCAATGGGTGTCATGATGCTTGCCATTGGAGACGGAGAGGACCCAGCAAGGGCCCAGGCAGGCTCTGTGGCTCAGTGATTCTGTAATACGGTGCTCAAGAGAAGCTGAATCCCACATGGTGCCCACAGTTCAAATCCCCCTCCAGGTCAGCTTGAAATGTGCTGGACACACACACGGATGCCCAGGATCTGAAGGGCTGGAGGGTTGGAGGAAGGGGGCCAGGGCATGATCAGACCCCGTGGACTCTCCCTTGTCTCTCATGCACACACACATGCTGAATAATAATAATAAAAATGTAAGGGGGGCTGGAGGGAGCAATGTGTGAGCCACATGCCTCTGGCCTCAGTCCGTGGCTGCCTGGGACCCTCTCATGAACCCAGAGAGGATGGCCTGCAGTGGTGACAGCACTCCAATGACCGGCTCACCTGGGAAGGTCTCGGGTTCGTGTCTCCAGGTGTCCCTGTACACACGTGTGTGCCCATGATCCTGGCTGGCTGAGGCCAGGGGTGGATCGCGGCAGGAGAACCTGTTGGTGCCTGTGTCTATCCTTCTCGTGGAAGAAAAGAAAACCCTGGAGACAGGCCCATTTTGCAGACAGAGGTGAGGCTAGAAGCGCCCTGCCTCTAGCTAGGCTCAGTTACAAGTCATGGGGTGACTCCCCTGTTCCCATATTCCCAGGGCCCTGCCGCAGCCTCAGAGCTTCAACCCCAGCCCCTACCTCTCCCTCATCTCCCAGGAGAGCGCTATGTCCCCTGTCCCCCAGACCCTAGTCCGACTCCATCTTGCCAGGTGTTCCCTGCAGTCCAACTCCAGAGAGACCCAGAGCTGACGCCTTGGGCAAGGACCTGTCCCCCAGCCCCTCTTCTGCCTGTAAGAGCCGGCGGGGGCCCCGAGCTGGGCTGTCCTCAGCACTGTCCCCAACCATCTCGCTCCCCGGAAAGCCTTACTCCACCCCCCAGCCCGCTCCCCCATCCCCTTCTAGCTCTCACAGCCCCTGCCCTCTCTCTGGTTAAGCTATGACCCAGCAGAGGGTGGCCCCCTCCGATGTCCAGGACGGAGAACTGAGTCACTTTAGGTCCCGGTTCCACCCAGCAGGGGGCGCCCAAGAGTGTGAGACGGGAATCGCCTGTGCCGGTCTCGGTTGGAATCCCAGCCGGGCAGTGCTCTGGCCGAGCCGGAGAGGTTGGCCGGAGACTGCCGGCTCCCGTTGGACAGGCTGACGCTGCAGGCGGCTGCAGTCCAGGTGGTGCACATCCCTGGCCCCTGCTTGTGACCCCGGTCACGGCACTCCGACCCCGGGTTCCCACCTCCTCCGCGAGGCCCGGGACCCCAACATGGACACCCTGAGCGCTCAGCCCTCCCGGCCTCCCTGAGCTCCTGGCTCCTTTCCCTCGACGCCCCCAAACTCCCAGGCCCGCGCCACCACCATCCCGCAGTTCCAGGGCCGCACCCTAACGAAGTCCTGCTCCCCAAGGCGGACACCGGCCCCACTTTTCTGGCTTCCGGTCCTGCGGCTCTAGCTGGAGCCGTCTGTCCAGGTCCCAGGTCGCGCCGCGGGATTCCGATAGGGATCCGTCTCCGAGGTGTCACTCAGAGGAGAGGGGTCGTTCCCGCCCCCTGGTGGCCGTGCCTGAGCGTGCGCGCCACCCCCGCGGGGACTGCGGACCCGCCAGGCTGGAGGCTGGAACTTGTCTCACCGACCTCCAGGGAACTGGGCAGGGATCAGCTGTCACTGCGTCCTGCTTGCCTAGTCACAGCGCCTGCGGCATGTCCCTAGCCAGCACTCCCTTGTCCTTTCCATTCTTCTTCCTTTCCGAACCGCGGTCCTGAAGGCCCAGAGAGGACCCTGACCTCGTCATCCCTGCCCTCCCCGACCCCCAGAACTGTGGCTCAGGACAGGGACGCACAGGTGCAGAAGCGGCAGAGTGCTGACGTCGTCATTTCCCATTGAATTAGCAGCCAGGGTGGATAGAAACGGTGCTCAAGACAAAGGAGTCCTCCTCCCCGATTCTTCCCTTTTAAATAAGCTCGAGAGACAGCCAGATGGGTGCTGAAGGAGGCTAGATTTCACATGGCCAACCGCGTGGTTCGAGCCCCTGATCCGGCAACTTGAAAAACACACCAGCTGTGTGTGGGGCCACAGGAGGAGGAAAAATGGAGAAGCGATTGTAGCATGACCATCTCCCATGGACAGGGTGCTTTCTCCCTCTCCTGTCTCTCTAGTCAGCACACACACACTCCAGCAAAACTTTTTTTCTTTTTTTTGTTATAGGGCATGTGTGCCCGCCAGAGAAACAGGGAGAGACAGAGAGACATAAAGCGAAAGATTTCTGTCTATAGCAAACTAGAAAATTAAGTTCAAGAAAGCTCATCCTAGGGACAGCAGGTGGCATGGTGCTTAAGGTGCTGGACATTCTCACATGGCTGACCACAGTTCAAGTCCTGGACCTGGTAGTTTGCTTTCTCATTTCCCCTCTTTCTGTCTGTCTCTGTCAAATTAAAAAGAAAATTAATGAATAAATGAAATTTAATAATTTTTTTTTAAAAAAAAGCTCATCCTCTCTGTTCCCATCATCTGCGACCTTACCTTGTGGTCCACAGACCGGGTAGAGCAGCACAGCTGGGGCCTTGACTCGTCACCTAAGTCAGACTCTGTGCTGGGACAATACCTCAGGGTGACAGGGAGACGTGGTTTTTGATCAGTGCTCTTTTTTCCCCCCAGAGGTTGCTATAGGGCGCGTGCGCTCGCCAGAAAAGACAGAGAGACAGAAAGTGAGAAATCACCCCCCAGGGTGGATGGCCATGCCACAATCCCTTCTCTTCCATTCTCCTCTCGGGATCTAGGGCACGATTGCACACGCCCCTGGCATGCACTGGATCTGGGACTCGAACCATCAACGACTACATGGGAGTCCAGCGATGTAGCCATTACGCCAACTGCTGGTCCCACCAGTGCTCTTCTCATCTGAGTTGTCCATTAAAGCACAGGCCAGAGGTCTAAGACACTGGCTCACTCCGGCCACACCCCGACTGATCAAGTCAGATCCCGGGGGCCTGTCTGCCCTGTCTGTAAACTGCTCGGGAGACTCCAGTGTGTGCCAAACTGAGAATCAGGGCTCTGCACTCTGGTGGGTTGGTTGGTTTGTTCAGCTCCCGCGACAAGGTCACCCATCTTCCAGGCCCTGAGCCTTGTGGTCCGGGCCTTGTCTTTATCTGGCCGGGTCTCCACACCATGTCCGACTGCCTTCACCCATCTTGGTTCCCCACCCACGGTTCCTCCTGTCTTCACAACTTTCCACCTTGGGGAAACTGGGGTGCCCTCAGACCTCCCCACCCTCCATCCAGGGTCGAGGCCTTTGACACCCCAAACCTGAGCCCTCTGCTCTGGTGCCAGCCCCCCACAGTGGCTGTGGGACACCTGCCCCCTCCCCCTCCGTGTATGTGACAGGGAAGTCCTGCTCAGAGCTGGGAATCGGGTTGCGGGGAGGTGTTGAAATGAGGAAGGTGGATGAGGCAAGGCAGGCAGATGGGGCCTCACCCACCCATCAGCCCATGTCCTGGGCCTCCTGTCCTCCCCAGGGGTCTCCTGAGCTGAACACACCTCTTCCCCACCAAGGTCTCCCCTCCTGTGGCTTTCTGGCTCTGGCTGGATTTGGCCTCAGCTGGCTTCTCTGGAGGCAGGGGGTCACGGGAACCCAGTACTGAGTCCTCTCTGGAACCCAGGTGGTTGTTTCAAGGAGGCAGGACAACAGGGAGTCAAAGAACCAAGGAACGGGATGTAGCTCAGGACGTGGCATGCAGGACTGGAGCTCAGGGGGACAGAAGTGCCCAGCAGGATCTGAGTACAGGCTGGGGCCGTCCCCGCCTCCTTTCCTTCCTCTCTGCCCTCCCCACCTCACCAGCAGCCCCCACCCTGCACACTGGCCCGTGGAGCAGAAGCCACAGTGACTTCCTGAAGGCAGCAGCCCAGCCTCAGGTCCCTCTCGCCAGAGGCCCGACACCTGCCTGCAGACATGGTGAGTGGTGGGAAGCCAGGGGCATGGCAGGACACCGAAAGGCACGTGCCAAGAGGGAGCGTCAGGGCAGGGGAGCCGGGAGAGCAGCCCAGAGCAGGTCCCTGTAAAAGCCCTGAGGTGGGAAGCAGCCAGGCCAGGCCTCCAGGCCAGCTCCAGCTCTGCCAGGCCTGAGGCTCAGGCAGGGGCTGTGACCATTCAGGGGACAGGTGGGATGACCCAGGGCCTGGACAGCCCTGGATCACTGCGGTCTGGGCTTGTCCTTATCTGGCCAGGCCCCTACGCCATGTCCGACTGCCATCACCTCTCGGACTCAACTTGGTTTTCTTGCTATGGTTCCTCCTCTCTTCGCGACTTCCCACCTTGGGGAAACTGGGGTCCCCTCCGTCGTCCACCCCACGACCCTCTCTGCTCCACCCCTGCCCCCCGTCAGTATCAATGGCAACCTGGGAACAGGCCGCCGAGGTGAGGGCAGGGGCTTCCTGTGGGTGACAAAGTGGGTCATGCACCTGCTGCCCTTGTCCCTGCCCCCTCCCAGGCTCCCAAGTCATGACCTGCTGACCCTGATTTACCCAGCCCTGTGGTCACCGGCACCCACCTGGGCGAGGGCTTTAACCCAGGCAGTCCAGGCCATGGGTAGGAACCACGGCCTTACCCGGGGGCGCTCCTGATCCCTTGTTCTCTAGATGGGGAGAGCGAGGCCCAGACAGGGCCAAAGGCCCTTCTCCTCCCCCAGTCTCTGTGCCCCCAGGTGAAGTGGGCTTAGGGGCCTGAGGCAGGGTCTGTGAGAAGAGGCCATATCTGTCTGCGACTGTGACCGCCAGTGCTGGCCTGTCCCCTGGGGACGCACATGCCCAGTGGTGCCTAGGCCTGGGGGCACTGCCTACTGGTCCCAGTGGGCGCCATCAGCTGTGAGCACCCCTGACTGCCAGCTGGGGTGTCGGCGCCTTTGAGACCGACCCCATGCCCACTTCTTCTGCGGATCCGAGTCTCTCTCTGCAAACATCTGTGTGTGTCTGCGATGGTCAGACTGAAGGCATGCCTTTGTGGCCAAGTATTTACTGAGTACCTACTATGTGCCACACACTGGGAAAACAGCAATGCATGAGTCCGCTCTGCCATACAGGGCTGCCAGGGACCTGAGCAGGGGCGAGCAGAGGTGAGGAGGTAGTACGGAGAGGCATGGTACAAAACAGACCAAGTCAAGACACATTTAAAAGTAACAAACATTAAATCACACAGGTCGGGGAGGATGGGGAGCTCTGAGAAGGGGGAATCAGTTTAAATAGGGTGGTCTCAGAGAGGGATTTCTCACAAGGTAATGTTGGCTCGACACCTGCGGGAGGAAAAGGAGGGACTCGTGGTAGGAGACGCGTCCCTGGTGCAAAGGGCAAGGGAAACACCCTGACTTGGAAAGGTGGGTGCTTACACTTTGGAGGAGCGTAGAAGACGAAGTGGCTGGGTGGGAGAGGCCGGGGTGTTCATGAGACGTCAGCTCTTACGAGATGAGGAAGCACTGTCGTATTTCGAGCAAAGGGGCACAGACCGACTGGAGGCTTCCTCCAGCTGCCATGGGGGGAAGGAGCAGGGGTGGGGGCCAGGCGGCAGAGCAGGAAGGCTAAGCCCTGTACAGTGATCCAGGCAACAGGGGACAGTTCCTCTGGCAGGGTGACAGGGGTGTAGGCAGTGAGAAGTGGTTGGATTCCGGATGTATTTTGAAATTAGAACAGAAAGGACTGAGGACGTGGCGGGGGTGGGGGGGAGCAGCAGGTCGAGGATGATCCGAGGGCACCAGCTACTGGGGAGGGGCAACTGTGGGGGCCACAGGCTGGGGGG